GTGACGGCGCACCTGCACTAGCCCCTCGTGAACTTGGCCCCCTGTGATGGCGCACCTGCACTAGCCCCTCGTGAACTTGGCCCCCCGTGACGGCACACCTGCACTAGCCCCTCGGGAGCTTGGCAGCCCACGCTCCAGGTCTGCTCTGGACCTTTCCTACTCCAGGCCAGGGCTCCAGCCTTCACTCAAAGGTCCTGTTTTCTAAAGCCCTGAATGCTGTGAGCTATTATCACTGAGTGCTGGGCACTTAAGCCACATTATCACTAAGCCTGCGAGGCCACTCCAGCCATCTCCTCCTCCACCCCCAAGGGAAACAAAGGGCCCAGGGACATCCTGTTGGCAGAGCAGCTCTGGCCTAACTGGTGACATCTTTCTTAGCCCAGGGGGTAACCCCATGTCTGGACAGGCAGAGGAACATCATGGCCAGGGGCATGAAGTCAGCCAGGCCCCAGTTCAGATCCTGGGTCCATCACCTCCTGGTTGGGTGATTTGGGACAGTTTTCTCCCTTTGCTGTTGACTTGGAAGCGGGGCTGTCCATCCTGTAGCAGGACAGGAAATGAAATGCTACACACGGGGTGCCTGGGCCTGGGTGGCTCAGTTGGTTAAGCGTCTGCCTTCGGCTCAGGTCATGATCCCAGGGTCCTGGGATAGAGCGCCCTGTCGGGCTCCCTGCTCAGCGGGAAGCCTGCTTCTCCCTCTCCCTCTGCCTGCCGCTCCCCCTGCTTGTCCTCTCTCTCTCTCTCTCTCTCTCTCTCTCTCTCTCTCTCTGACAAATAAATAAATAAATTCTTTAAAAAAGAAAAGAAATGCTACACACAGAACACCTGGCAGAAAACAAGGGCTCTGCAAATGGTAGCTATTATATTTTTGTTACAGTTTTTTTACTAATTTTAATTATGTAGATATCATGTGCAGTCAAACATTAGCAAACACTCACTCCCTTACGCAACTCTCCGTGAGCGGCTGATACAGAATCTTTGTCTAGTTCTGTCGGCAGTCAGGACCTCTCCTCCTTCCGCTGTGTGCCTTCCTTCCTCGGCTCTAGAATCTTTGGGCCCTGAGTCTGCCTCTGACGTTATTGCCCTCAAGAACAGCTGTTCATCTCCAGCCTGAAACTGCTTGTCAGAACTCAGGTTCTCTAGATTTTAAAGCCCATTCCATCGAAAAGGGATCCTGTGGTCCAGTAAGTCTGAGAAAGGCTATGAATTTTACACTCTCCAAAAGGATCGAAGTTCGTGTTACACCATAAAGGCTCTGAAAAAGTCCTGCAGAGGAGAGACTTTTCCAGCACTTCTTGTCCTCAGTTTCTGTGGTGTTGATGCTCTGTTTATGGAAGTCCAGTCTTGTTTTGCAGGACTTAAGTGTTCTGGGCACTGAGGAGCCTGAAGCTTTGAGCTGATTCCTGAGTTTAGACTCTGGCCTCCTTCCACATGGGGTGCCCATCCAGTGCCCGGACCTCACTGGTCAGCTTCTGTCTCCTCAGGCCAGCGAGATAATACTAGAGATTAAGAAGGCGTTTGAGGAAAGCCTGAGCACCCTGAAGTGGATGGATGAAGACACTCGGAGATCAGCCAAGGAAAAGGTGAGGCTGGCCCAGTGCCAGAAGGGGTGGCTGAGGCTTCCCACCTAGAGGGCCGCACCCACAGATGGAGGGGGTGCCTGAAGCGAGACCAGTCACATCTGGTGAGCACAGCAGGGATGCCGTCCTGCCTTCACGGGTGAATATTCCAGCAGGGTGGAGGGACAGCCTTGAACACACGATTGCATTAATGACAATATAAAAATAAGCCATGTTGAGTCTGTGAGGGAAAAATGCAGGGAGCTGTAGCATGTCTAATGGAGAAAGAAGGATCTGATAATAGTCCAGCAGGTGGCGGCCAGCAAAGGCTTCCCTCAGGAGGGAAGCAGAGACCCAAAGGGTAAGTAGAAGTCAGGCAAGAGAGGGATCTTTCCAGAAAGAGATGCGGAAGCCCTGAGGGGGAGGGCCTGCCCATTTCCTTTTGGCCCAGAGCCTGAGCCCAGCCAGGCCTGCTGGGCACTCAGTGTCCTTGGTGTCTCTCCTGTGCAGGCGGACGCAATCTACAACATGATAGGCTACCCCAACTTTATCATGGACCCCAAGGAGCTCGACAAAGTGTTCAATGACGTGAGTGGCTCCCACCCTGCCCCCTTGCATTCCCGAATGTCCCTGAGGTCCCCACGTGGGGAAGAGCAGAAGCAGGCTGGGTCCAGGTGGGCTGTGAGAGGTACCTGGACTGTCAAGGCGTCTCCAGATCCGTCGGTGTGGGGTGTGGGGATGGATCTGGCATGAGGGGGCTGTTCTGTGCCCCTTCTCTCCTGGGCCTGCTGGAGGCCCCTGCCCCCCCCCGCCCAGAGCCACTGTCAGTGCCCAGCAGTCAGGACCAAACAGTGCCCTGTGCCCGGCCAGACGCTCCATTTAATGGGGGGGGGGGGGATAATGGAGGTGAGCCGACCCTAGGAGGGACAGACAGAATGAAGGCCCCTAAAACAGCAGGAGGTGGAGTGAGGAATGGAGCCCCTCATACCACCTCTTCCTTCCCGGCCCCCCAGATTGCCTCCTCTGCCCAGGGTCTTCCCCCTTCCCAGAGAAACCTGGACCTCGTTTGGACCTCCAAATGCTAATGGGAAAAAGGAGGCGTGAATCCCAAATGCACGTTTAAGCTTAATTGAGGCAACAAGGATACTTGATATATTCCTGGTGGTTAGAACTTTCTGCAGGCCGTCCCCATAAACGGATTGTGCTTCTGCCCTGAAAGATAGTTTTATATCTTCTTGTGATTGAAATTTGTGAAATTCAGGCATTTTTGCAATTATAATAACCCCTCATCATGGCTCTATTTAAAACCTAAGAATATTAAAATTGCTTCCGAGAATATGAGACTGACTCACTCCGCAGCCTTTTTCCTCGAGGATAATTTAAGATGCTCCGGGGTGTCACGGCACAGACCCGGGGATTCCTGGGGACAGGCACAGCCCACAGGATCAGAGTCCTGTCTCCAAGGTCTAGCATTTTACCGGAGCTCTGACGGAAGCCAGAAAGCTCTGGAGTGGATCTGAGGAAGAACCTTGCCCCTGAAAAGAGCCTAAAGGCTGGGCTGAGTGCTGAGGAAGGCGTGCGGTGATGCCTGTCCCCTGACATTTCAGAGATAGACCCCAGCTCGACTCGTGTGGTATCCAGTGTGGTAGCTGCTATAGCCACTACTGTTTTTAGTTAATTAAAATCTAAGTGTAACAGTCACACTAGCCGCATGTGAAATGCTCCGTAGCCACGTGTGGCTGGTGCCTGCCATACTGGATAACACAGGCAAAGAACACGTCCATCATCACAGACAGTTCTGTCGGACAGCACTGGAGAGATTTGCTGTCTAAGGCCCAGGCACTGCCGCAGGCCTGTGACACTGCTGGGTGCCGAGCAGCCCTGTGAAGCTCTTAGTGTGTCCTTGAACGGGAGAGAGTGCCAGGCCCCAGCAGGGTCAGGGCCACGGCAAGAACCCAAGCCTGCAGTCCCGAGACTCCCATTCCGGCCTCTGACCTGTGGACCAGTCCCTTAACCTCGCGGGGTTTGAGCTTCCTCGGCTTTAGGAGAAGGGGTCTGTGTGTAAGGAGCCGAGGGGCCTCCCAGCCCGGACGCGCTCTGATCTCGTACCTCTGCTTCCTCTTGGCCAGTACACCGCAGTCCCGGACCTCTACTTTGAGAACGCCATGCGGTTTTTTAACTTCTCCTGGAGGGTCACTGCCGACCAGCTGAGGAAAGCTCCCAACAGAGACCAGTGAGTCCCCGGGGCCTTGCTGGGAGGGCACTGGCGCCCGGAACACAGGGGTGCTCTGGATCGAGCGTGCTTTTCTCACACGCTCACGGATGCCAGACGTAACGGTCACAAACGCCATCTGAGGAGCGGGCACCGTCGCTCTCCCACTCTTCAGATGAAGAAACCAGGGACCGAGGATGTGTGCCCAGCCAGGAGCTGGGACTGGCCTGGGTCTGTGTGCCCCTGGCACCCCGCTGGTGGACAGAGTAGCCGGGCCTCACCCGCTTTAGCATTGGGAACGTCTGCCTCCTTACTCGCAGAGAAGATGGGAGGAGCCGTCTGACAGTCACGTGTGAGCGCTAGGAGGCCCTCAGCTAGCGGAGATTCTGAATGGGCCCCCAACAGCTGTGGTTCCCAAACCTTACTGCACATCAGCACCCTCTGGGGAGGGTTTTTTGTTTGTTTGGTATTTTTTAAGATTTATTTATTGGAGAGAGAGAACGAGTGGAGTGATAGGGAGAGAGACTCTCAAGCAGACTCTGTGCTGAGCACGGAGCCCGAGATGGGGCTCGATCCCACCACCCTGAGATCATGACCCAAGCCAAAACCAAGAGTTGGAGCCTCAACCCGCTAAGCCACCAAGGCGCCCCCTGGGGGAAGTTTTTTTTTTTTTTAAATACAGCTTCTTCCTGGACCTCAAACCTTCTTAAAATAATCTGGAATGAGCCCTGGTTTCTGTCATTTTTTGAGCAGTCTCCTCGGGAAACTCATATGTTGTCAGCCCAGCTCTAGCTCTCAAAATAAGTTTCCCCCCACGCCTAAAACATTTTGCAGAATAAATCTTAACCAAAAGGGGGAAGCAAGAATTCTCTTTGCTTCTGGCGCCCCCTCGTGGCCAATAAGGGTTTATACATCTGTTTCCTCTTAAGATTCCTGTCTCCTACAGAGGAACCCCCTCCCCTAAATGCACGGAAGGCGGTTTTTTATCTCCAGAATATGGCACAGGTACTGCCACAAGGTTCCGAATTTATCTGAAGTCTTTTAATTTAGCTTAAAATTTTTCACTTAAATTCTGCCTCCTGGGGGCGCCTGGGCAGCTCCATCGTTTCCAGGCATCTTGCCTTTGGCTCAAGTCATGATCTAGGTCCTGGGATTGAGCCCCAGGTCATCTCAGGGTCCTGGGATGAAGGCCCACGTCAGGGTCCCTGCCCAGCCTGGAATCTGCTTCTCTCTTACCCTCTGCCCCTCCCCGCTGCACAGGCTCTCTCTCTCTCTCTCTCTCTAATAAATAAAAATCTTTTAAAAAATAAATAAATTTTGCCTCCTGCCCATTAATGTATGGAGCCATGATTATTTGAATATAAATATGATGTTTTTGATTTCTATCTTCCCATGGCTTCAGTACCCCACAACACATCTCTTTGAGGCTCACCTGGAGGAGACAGAGTGAATAAGCTCTTGGAGAAAATGTCCTTTCTGTCTCACTCCACTCATCACTGGGCTTCCCCTCCACACCAGAAAAATTATTGAGTGGACAAATGTTTCTACCATCAGGGTCCCTTCTATACTTTTTTTTTTAAGTTTTATTTATTTAAGTAATCTCTGCATCCAACGTGGGGCTCGAACTCACAACCCTGTGAGTCATATCTCTTCCAGCTGAGCCGGCCAGGCACCCCCTTCTACACTCTTGAAAAATTATTGGAACCCAAAGAGTCTCTTTGTGTATGGAGATTATATCAATTTAATGGAAATTTTATGAAAAATAACTTTTTTAGGGGTGTCTCGGTGGCTCAGTCATTAAGCATCTGCCTTCGGCTCAGGTCATGATCCCGGGGTCCTGGGATCAAGCCCCGCATCGGGCTCCCTGCTCCGTGGGAAGCCTGCTTCTCCCTCTCCCGCTCCCCCTGCTTGTGTTCCCTCTCTTGCTGTCTCTCTCTCTGTCAAATAAATAAATAAAATCTTTTAAAAAAATAACTTTAAAAAAAAAGTATAGTGAGAAAAAAAGTATTTTACTTTTGGCATATTTCTTTAATATCTGCTTAATAGAAGACAGATGGATTCTCATATTTGCTTCTATGTTCAATTTATTGCAGTATATTGTTTTGAAATGTATAAAGAAAATCTAGGGGTTCCTGGGTGGCTCAGTCGGTTAAGCATCTGACTTTTGATTTCGGTTCAGGTCATGTTCTCATGGTTATGAGATCGAGCCCCTCCTCAGGCTCTGCACTAGTCGTGGAACCTGCTTAAGATTCTCTCAGGGCGCCTGGGTGGCTCAGCTTGGTTAAGCGTCCAACTCTTGATTTCAGCTCAGGTCGTGATCTCAGGGTCGAGGGATTGAGCCCCCTGTTGGGTTCCATGCTCCGCAGGAGTCTGCTTGAGATTCTCTCTCTACCTCTCCCTCTGCCCCTGCCCCCTGCATGCGTGCACGCATTCGTGCTCTCTCTCTCTAAAATAATAAGTCTTAAAAAAATTCTCTCCCTGGGTGGCTCAGTCCGTTGGGCGTCTGCCTTCGGCTCAGGTCATGGTCCCGGGGTCCTGGGATCGAGCCCCGCATCGGGATCCCTGGTCGGCGGGGAGCCTGCTTCTCCCTCTCCCTCTGCTGCTCCCCCTGCTTGTGCTCTCTCTCTCTCTCTCTCTCTCTGTGTCAAATAAATAAATAAATAAATAAATAAATCTTAATAAAACAAAAAGAAGGCTTACTGAATGGTGTGCCATTTAAAAAAAAAAAATTCTCTCCCTTTCCCTCCACCCCTCTGCCCCCAAATGAAAATCTAGTCTCATGCAGATATGAAGTTGGAAAAGGGAGGGATGCTTTAGTAGCCTTTCTTTTTTTTTTTTTAAGATTTTGTTTATTTATTTATTTGAGAGAGAGAGAGAGAGAGCACATGAGAGGGGGAAGGGTCAGAGGGAGCAGCAGACTCCCTGCTGAGCAGGGAGCCCGATGCGGGACTCGATCCTGGGACTCCAGGATCATGACCTGAGCCGAAGGCAGTCGCTTAACCAACTGAGCCACCCAGGTGCCCAATTAGTAGCCTTTCTGTACTTGTGCACATCCTTCGTTGAGAACGACACCAAAACTCAGCAACTCGTAATTTCTTAAAGGTTAGTAGCACTGTGGAACCTGAACCCATAGCCATTAACTTTTCCTGCTCTGTTACACTAAAGTCTGTCAGTCTGTCTTGCACTTTGAATGGATCTTTTACCCAGCCATGATTTGTAATATCATGCATTGGTCATTTGGAACAAGGCTTGCTGACTTTTATATACCTCTAAATGCGTGCACGCATTCGTGCTCTAAATAGTGACATTTTCATTATACCATATCCCAAAAAATCCACCTTTGTTCTTATCACTGTTGACCTCCTGAGAGAAGTCTTTAGCAACTGATGAATTATTGAACTCTACATCTGAAACTAATGATGTACTATATGTTGGCTAATTGAATTTAAATAAAAAAGTCTTTCAGCGTTTGGAAGCTATCAAGTTTATGGTGACTGATACAAGTTCTTGTCGTTAATTTTGCTAATTAATTTACTAATTAATTTTCCTTGAAACTTCAAAGTTTTTTAATTCTTAAAAATTTTTTAAAGATTTTATTTATATATTTGAGAAGACAGAGCAGGGGGAGGGGCAGAGACCGACGGAGAGGGAGAAGCAGACTCCCTGATGAGCAGGGAGCCCAAAGCCGGGGCTCGATCCCAGGACCCTGAGACGATGACCTGAGCCAAAGTCAGAAAGCTTAACTGACTGAGTCACCCAGGCACCCGTCATTTTTTAATTTCTTTAAAAAATTTTTTTATTCTTATTTTTTTAAGTAAGCTCTATGCCCAGGGTGGGCTTGAACTCACAACCCGGAGATCAAGACTCGCATGGCTCTACCAACCAAGCCAGCCAGGCGCCCACAAAGTTTTTTTTAAACCTTGAATTTTTATCACTGGCAACAGATGATGTCAGTTGTTTCCTTTCATTTTCAAGCTGTCTACTGGATACCAGATGTCTGCCAAGCCTGAAATGCCGGTTGGCCAGTCATCCTCACGAGTGCAAACGGGGGTCCCATGAGAAAAGCGCAAGTGCTCGTGTGGACTTCCCATCTGGTCACACCGAATATCAAGACACTTCTAACTCAAGGGTCTAGATTTAATGACATTAGGTAACCGTGGGGCACCTGGCTGGCTCAGTCAGTAGAGCACGCGACTCTTGATCTCGGGATCATGAGGTCAAGCCCCACGCTGGGTGTGGAGATGACTTAAATAAATAAAACTTAAAAAAACATGAAGAACTCGTGCTACTTCATCAGCGATGTTCCTCAGTGAGATGGGTTTGTTTTTCCCGGTGAGGAAGGCAGGGACCACTAGAACAACCCGGGCCACTACCTTGATTCACTCATGGGCTCCCGCAGCTCCACCCACCATTGCTTTTCCACCGTCAGAGCAAACGTCATCATGGTGGAAAAGACAAATCATGTCTTAGTATTATCATGGAAGATAGTTTGGGCCTCGCAGACCCCCTGAAAGGGACTTGAGGACCCCTCCAGGTGTCCACAGTCCATACTTTGAGAACCACTGGGCAGCAGTGACCTTTCGTTACATAACGGTCCGTCTGGTTCTTCGTAAGCACCTCGCTGTTCCACTGTGTGGTGCGGCATTGGATTTCACTGATCCCTTTCTTTGCAGATATGTGGGTGTTTTCTGGTTCTCACCCTCAAAAACACCGCTGCTAAAGACATTCTTGTCCTTGTGTGCCCTTGGGGCTGGGGTTCAGGCCCTTGGCACCTGCCAGATGGGCTGACCCCCCTTTGCCTCCCCACCAGCTGGGCCTGAGCTTTCTCGTGTGTTTGCATGCAGGTGGAGCATGACCCCACCCATGGTGAATGCCTACTACTCGCCCACCAAGAATGAGATCGTGTTTCCTGCCGGGATCCTGCAGGCACCGTTCTACACCCGCTCCTCGCCCAAGTAGGATGCTGGTGTTGCTGGACCCCATCTCCTTCCCCCAGCCCTCCGTGGACACCCAGCCTGGCCCGGGGGCCTGCAGCTGACCACACGAGCCGGCCAGTCTCCCTGAGGGCTTTTTGTCCCACTGGTCCAGGCAGCTTGGGGCCCTCAGGGACATTGCAGAGACAACAGCACCCTCACTCCCTGCGCTTCCCTCCAGGGGTCTCCGGGGTCCAGAAGCCCCTGCACAGTGGGAGCTTGGGGGCATGTCATGAAATCAGGTGCCCTATCTAGAGGAAAGCCCCCCCCCGCCCCCCAGTGGTGTTTTAGAGCAGTCACAGCTGGGGGGTGGCGGTGGAAAGTGTGAGAGCATGGTCTGAGAAAGGCCCTGGGTTTGAATCCCAGGTCTGCTCTTTGCTGACTGCGGGGCCCTTGGGTAAAGTGACTGAACCATTCCCAGTCTTGGTTTACTTATCCAAACAGTTGGTCACTAAGGCCACACTCTTCTGAGGTGACCAAAGAGGACAGTGCAGTTCGGTTGGAGGGTCTAGCACAGTGCTTGGCCTTCAGGGGCTACAGGTGGACCACAGCCCATTTGCCCAGCCTCTGACTCCCCTAAGGGGTTTGCTGGAGGCTCAGGCTGCGGCCACAGCCCCACAGAGCCCGCAGGACCCTGCTTTGTCTCTAGACCCAGGAAGTGATGTCCCCTTGGGGCGTCACCCTCACCTTTGTGTTCCCCTCTCCAGGGCCTTAAACTTCGGTGGCATTGGTGTTGTCGTGGGCCACGAGCTGACTCATGCTTTTGATGATCAAGGTACGGCTTCCTGGGGTCCCCTTCAGACGGGGCACATTGGCTCCTGGCCCCATTGCCTCTGCTTTGCTCTCGTCACTTCCAAAGGTCTGGAGACAGATGGGTTTGGGTTCAATCTTGGCCCTGCCCCTGCCCCTTGAATGAACTTGAATGAGCCCTGTCCTTTCTCCACGCCTCCTCATCCTTGTCTGTAAAATGGGCATGATGATTGCAGCCTCGTGTGGTGATTCTGGGGACTGTGTCAGGCACAGGGGGTTCCTGGAAGCTGTCTCGTACTCAGGAGTGGGTGTTAGCAGTCAGCAGGGAGCCCACATTTCTCCAGCACTCCAGAGACTTCTCTGGGCCAACTGCCATCAAAGGAGTCGACGTCATTTGCCTCCTCACCAAAACATCGAGAATCCTCATTCCCTCCTGCCTTGGGCACCCCAAGGCCAAGAAGGAGGAGGTGGGGCCTTAGAGGCCGGGGCCTGTCCTGTGATCCTGGTGCTGCTGACTCCATTTCCCCCTTCCTGGGCTCGGGGTCCGAGGCCCTCAGTCAGCCTTGACAATGAATCCAGCTCCACCAAAACCGTGAACGTGCTGACCCTTTACCCGCATCACGTTCCTCCATCCTCTCTCCCCCACCCACCGCCCAGCTGCCTGGCTCATCCTCCCAGCTCCTCTGGCACCCAGGCCAGCATCGTCTCCCCGGGTGCTGCTGGGTAGGCCTTGGGGGGGAGGGGGATGGGCAGGTGGGTCCGGAGGGGGGATGGGCGGGCCACCTCTCACCAGGCGGAGAGGCGGGCAGAGAGGCGCAGTGAGCCCTGCCTCCTCCCCCCTCCTCCCCCTTGACCTGACGCTTCCCTTGGAACCTTACAGGACGGGAGTATGACAAGGATGGGAACCTTCGGCCCTGGTGGAAGAACTCGTCCGTGGAGGCTTTCAAGCAGCAGACGGAGTGCATGGTGGAGCAATATGGCAACTACAGTGTGAACGGGGAGCCCGTGAATGGCCGGCACACGCTGGGGGAGAACATCGCCGACAACGGGGGGCTCAAGGCGGCCTATCGGGTAAGAGCTCATTCCCCACACACGCCCCGGCCCGGGTCTGGGTCTGGGCAGGGGCCTCCTCAGGAAAGGGTCTTTACCTGGGACCAGCTGCAGCCGCTGCGTGACCTTCTCTTTGCTCATCTGCGGAACGGGGGTAGCGGGGACCGACGGAGAGGTCTGCGAAGTCCCTCGCACAGAGCAAGGCGCGCAGACGGCTTTCCGGACAAGTCCGCCCGACTGACATTCAGAGGAAAGGGCTTAGGCTGGAGCCACCTGACGACCTGCGGGTTCCTACCTTGGCAGGGATAGGCATCATTAAATCAGGCAGCAGTGGGCCCAGGAGGGGAGGGGAGGGGAGGGACACAGGTCATGGAGCCAGTTCTGGGTTCCAGTCCTGGTTCTGGAGAAAGTCACTTGGCCTCCTTGAGCTGCAGTGTGCCTGGCTGTGAACACCCACTCCCTACATTACTGCGCTGTCAGAAGGACAACATGATCTAATTTATCCTTTAAAACCAGAGTCGGCAGGGGCGCCCAGCTGGCTCAGTGGGAAGAACATGCGATTCTTGATCTCGGGGTCGTGAGTTTAAGCCCCACGTGGGGTGTAGAAATTACTTAAATAAGTAAAACTTCAAAAAACAAAACAAAACAAAAACAAAAAACCCCAGCGTCAGGAAACCTCTACCCTGTGGGTCAAATCCAGCCCTCAGCCTATTTTTGTAAATAAAAACATAGTGGGACCCCCGCCAGGCCTGTTGGGCTCCATGCTGTCCGCGGTTGTTTTCACACCACAACGCCAGAACAGAGGAGTTGCACTGAGACCGTTTGGCCTCCAACACTGAAAATATTTACCCTCTGGCCCTTCGCAGGAAAGTCCGCCAACCCCGGCTTTATGAGGATGACTTAAGATGTTGTGTCGGGAGGGGATTGGAATTGGACCAGCTCGAGTCAAGGAGTCTAGTTAGCAAGCTCTTGTGAGATTGTCCAGGCAAGAGAAGGGATGAAGCAGGGGATGTGGCAGGGGTGAGAAATGGCCAGATTTAGGTGGTTTGGATAATTGAACGAGACGCTCAGGGCGCCTGTCTGGCTCAGACGGAAGAGCGTGCGACTCTTGATCTCTGGGTCGTGAGTTCGAGCCCCACGTTGAGTGTAGAGATTACTTTAAAAAAAAAAAAATCTTTAGGGGGCCTGGGTGGCTCAGTTGGTTAAGCGACTGCCTTCGGCTCAGGTCATGATCCTGGGGTCCCGGGATCGAGTCCCCCCGCAGCAGGCTCCCTGCTCAGCAGGGAGTCTGCTTCTCCCTCTGACCTTCCTCCTTCTCATGCTCTCTCTCTCTACCATTCTCTCTCTCTCTCTCAATATAAATAAAAATCTTTAAAAAAAGAAAGAAAGAGAAGCTCAAAGAAGAACTCTGGGGTTGGGGCCCGAGGCACTAGGTGGTTGGCGGTGCCATTTACCGTGGTGGGAAAGTGTGTGCGTGTGCATGCATGTGGGTGTGCGTGCGTGCATGTGTGTAACCCCTCATTCTGTCTGTGCCATATTAAGTCTGGATGCATCTTGGAAATCCAGCTGAAGCTATGAATATTCAAATCAGGGAAGAGGCTGGAGCTGGAAATATGCACCTGAGAGCCATGGCCATGTAGATGGTATTTAGAGCCCTTCGGAATGAGTGCTGGTGAAGATCACTCCTCTAGGCGGTGGGGGGACCCCGGACTCCCCCAAACAAGTCCTTGCCCCAACAGGGTAGAGCTTCCCGAGGCCTCCCGCACTGGCCCTCCACTGTTGCCCTGTTTGCTCCTGTGTCATGGGAGCCCCTGAACTTTGTTTTGTCTGCCCCCAGGCCTACCAGAGCTGGGTGACGAAGAATGGGGCTGAGCAGACATTGCCCACCCTGGGCCTCACCAATAACCAGCTCTTCTTCCTGGGCTTTGCGCAGGTGAGTTCTCTGTAGGAAAATATGCCAAACTCAGGCACATTTCTGCCATCTTGATATTCCAGGAGCTCTGAGAGCCAAAGGCTTCTCAACTGAGAACCTTCTAACTCACTGGACTGTCCATAGGACATCTACTCTGTAAGAAGATGAGCTTCCTGCCAGTAGAGAAATCCGATTAAGGGCCATGAATGCCATGAAAAGGTTTCCTGTATCAGGTAGATGAGAGGACAAGTGAGTGCTAAGGGCCCTCTGGTTCAGGGGTTCTAGAAATTTCCTAAACTCAGGATGCCCCAGGATGTCCCTTGAATTGGCATTAATGTATAGTCTTCTCTTAGTGCCCCGAGCCACCAGGCCATTACACAGTTTTTGTTCTGCCCAGGATGTGAGTGATCTGGACTCAGTTGAAGGTTTTCAGACTGGTCTGGGGGCAGAATCCTTTGTGCAGAGGAAATCTAATGCAGAGGCCCAGGACAGACAGAGGTGACCACAGTAGAGGATGCTGGGATGGGGGACATAGCAGCCCACGGTCTCTTCCCTACCCACCTGGTCGCCCCTCCAGACGCCCAAGGGTCTCAGAACCAGGTGGGGGCTCATTCCCCTGCTGTCGTGGACGGGGGCAGTCTGGTGGTCTCAGGGCCCCACAGTGACCTAGCTTCTCTCTTGTTGCCTCACAAAGGTCTGGTGCTCTGTCCGCACACCTGAGAGCTCCCACGAAGGCCTCATCACTGATCCTCACAGCCCCTCCCGCTTCCGGGTCGTTGGCTCCGTCTCTAACTCCAGGGAGTTCTCAGAACACTTCCACTGCCCACCTGGCTCCCCCATGAACCCTCATCACAAGTGTGAGGTCTGGTGAGGGTGGCAGCGCCGTGAGCCAAGACAGGATGAGCCCCCAGGTGGAGCCTGTCAGGCCACCTTTCCATCCAGCGTCCAGGGTGTCGCCCCGCCCCCTGGCCGCCCAGGGCCCCCCCTACCCCGCACTGGAGGGTTTCCAGCCGGAACCGAGCCTCTGATGTGGGTTCTCAACACAATCCGAGATTTGATCCCCTGTGAAGACCGTGTCATCCCAGGCACATGTGCGCCAGTTCTCATGGGCATTTGGGTGTTAGGCTGGTGGCTTACCGGGCCTGGGCCCCATATTGACAAGGGCAGTGGGACACGGACCCCTGCCCACATCCAGTGCCAGAAACACCACAAATACCACTGTGTCAAATGCTTTAAAGATATATTTTTGGGGAAACTATTTTTTAAACATTGTGGAATACACTGGAAATCTTCAGGGAAATAATGCATTTAAAACACTTTTTTTTTTTAAGGAAAGGATTGGTATATTTATTATATTCTGTTTTTCTAAATAACCTGTGGATAAGGGAAGACCCACTGATTTACCCCTCCCTTCCTCACTCGCTGGGAGGTCGGCTGAGGCAGCCATCCCCCGCCACTGAGCACGTGCCCACGTCGAGAGCTGGCCCAGTCCTTGGTGTTTGCAGTTTCAGCCTCTGTCAGCTGGTTTGCGGTCACGGGGCGTAAAGAGGAGAGGTGTGGAGGCCAGGAAGGGGCAGAAGCCCCCTCATGGACACTGCCCCTCACAGCTTGCCTGCCTCCGTCCCCAGAGTCCAACAGTGGGAACCCCAACAAGGACGGTCTGATCCCCAAAGTCGCAGCAGGAGATTGATGGCTGTGGCAGGGGGAGGCCAGCCCGTGGCCGTCAAACCCAGCCCCGGGGCACCCAAGCACCCTAGAGCTGGATGGCGGGAGCCCCGCGAGGCCTCGCCCTGCGTCAGACGCTCTCTGCCATGCCGTAGGTAGCCTCTTTCTGTCCCTCTTCTGGCCGCTCCACGTGTGGCCCAGGGGCCAGTTGCCTGTCCGCAGCAACCCTCCCGTCCCAGCGTCTTAGGGGTCTGCCTTGCTGACCCTCTTCCCCAGGGGAAGGAGAAAAGGGAAGGCCATTCTCCTGTTCTGCAGGGCCCGGATGCTCCCTCTGGGCTTCGGCCTGAGCTTGGCTCCCAGGACCACGGCCAGCCCCGCCGGCCCGCCCTCCATCTTTAGTGCCTTAGCTGAGGCTGCAGCCCAGGCTCCACCCCAAGGAGACAGCCCTCCACCAGGTGCCCCTTTGCCTCCTCAGTGAAGCCTTCAAGTGTCCTGACTGTAACGCAAGGCCGTGCCCCCTCCTGCCAGTGTCCACAGAACTGCCCCTCGCAGCAGCCGGGGGGCTCCAGCCCGCAGGCAGGTCCGTGGCGCCACGGCCGGGGTTCTGACGGACCCCGGAACGTGCCCTGAGCCCCAGCCCACCCTCAGCCCCTTCGGCTGAGTCGAGACAATGCTTGTAGCTAGCTGGACTCCTCACTTGGAGGTGGGTTCAGCCAAGGAGGACTGTGAGGGAAGGGCTCCCCCGCCACGGTCAGTCCGGCCTGTGGTGTCAGGGAACCAGGACTGGTGTCCCTCCCTGAGGCCAGAGCAGCCAGTGCCCGTCGAGGCTCACCATCCTGGCAGCCCGAGGCCTGGCCGTGCTCCCTCAGCGCGCTCGCCTCGCCCCTGCTGCCAGGACCCCCCCTGCCCAAGAGGCCCAGCCGGATCCGCCTGAGGCCCCTGGTCCCCGCAAGCAGCGGGCCTGGTAGCTCTTCAGAGGAAAGGTAGGCCAGGAGCCAGAGAAGAAGCCAGAGTCAGGGGCTGCCGCACGCACCTCGCCACACAGAGGTAGGCTTCCCAGCCCTGGCGCCGCCCGGTACCTCCTCCGACGCCCTCCTTCCTTCCCGCCTTCCCCATAGAAGCTCACAGTCCTCGAGAGTGTCCGTCGGCGCCACAGACCGGAACCTCCCCGCCAGAATCAAGGGTCCCGGGGCTGAGGGTCCAGCCAGAGGGGGTGCAGACTGCATTCAGCAGGGGGCCCGGGGAGCGCAGGGCTCCGGCCCAACAGGGATGGAAGCAAAGGAGGCAAGCCCCCACTGTCCTGCCCTGCCCCTCCGGAGCTGAAAGAAGCCCGAGGGGATGGGCAGCTCTGAAAGCCGCCCCCCTCAGGCCCAGGGAGCCATAGGGCTGGCCGCTCCGCGGGTACATGGACGTGGGGTTTGGAGCTGGGAATCTATTTTTTGTATTATTATGTTCTGTGCTACTGTAGTTTGGGCGTGGCACTATTGTAACTCAAATAAAGTACTTGTACCGAGCGTCACGTGACTGTGTGTGTCCTCCGGGGCTCGGGTGGCGGGGGGGGGGGGGAACCCTGGCCAACACAGAGCTCCCCATCCTCACCCAGGCAGCGGGGCTAACGGCACCTCCTCCCCAGCGTGGAGGCCTTGGGCCCAGACAAACGCCCGGAGGTTACTCGGTGCCTGTAAGAGCACGTGAGCGCCCCCTGCCGGGGAGGATGGTGCGTGCCAGAGGTGTCCAGGGGGCATCCTGGTGGAAATACTTTTTCCATGATCTTGGAGCAAAGGGGGTCAGCAGAGGGTTGCCAGCCCTCAGATGCTCAGCGGGGCCGACGGGAGTAGGTAAATTCAATGAAGTTCAAGGAAAAGTGTCTGACATACACTCATGCCTCCCCCTGGGTTTTGCATATATTCTTCCCTCTGCCTAGAATGCTCTTCTCTAACTTCTCTGCCCGATACACTCCTACCCATCCTTCAACGCCCAGCATAGCATCAGCTCTTCTAGGAAGCCCTTCCTGACCTCCAGATCACGTACGATCACACAGGCTTCCCTCGCCTAACGGAGTAGAGTGCCAGGACTGCTGTAACAAAGCACCACAAACTTGGTGGCTTACACAACAAAAATTTATTGTCTCACAGTTCTGGAGGCTAGAGTCCAAGATCAAGGTGTCCACAAAGTTGATTCCTTCTGAGGGATGTGAGGAAGAATCTATTCCAGGCATTTGCCTAGCTTCTGGCGGTCTGCTGGCCAACTTTGGCGCTCCTTGGCTTGTAGAAGCATCACCGATCTCTGCCTTCATCTTCACATGGTGTTCTCCCTGTGTGCGCATCTGGTACGTGTCCGAATTTCCCCCCTTTTTTATAGGGACACCAGTCATGTTGGATCAGGGCCCACCCTGATGACTTCATTTTAACTAATGATTTCTGCAGTGATCCTATAAGGTCATATTCTGAGGTATTGGGTGTTACAACTTCAACATATGAATTTGACGGGACACAATTCAACCTGTGAAAGTGCCCGTGCCATCTCTAGCAGCCCAGTGCCTGGCACAGACAAGCCACAGAGTAGGGCTCGGTGACTGTTGGATAAGTAGGTTGGTGGGTGGGTGGATGGATGGGTGCATAGGTGGGTGGGTGAATGGCTGG